TGCGTGAATCTTGGTCAGCTATCTTGACGCGGTTTCAACACTGGGCGCTCATCTCTGCTTGTCGTCCACGGCTGAACTCTTTCGCCGTCCGCGGCTCAACTCAAACTCTTCTTCAGAGTCTGAATTACTGGTCACTCATCTCCGCCGTCGGTGCGCGAATTAACTTCTTCTCTTCGGCTTCTGAATTACTGGTCACTCATCTCCGCCGTCGGTGCGCGAATTAACTTCTTCTCTTCGGCTTGGGTCGGACGAACTTCTTCACTATAGGCCAAACGAACTGGCCTCTCTTGCCCGCTTCTGGGCGAACTCCTGGCCCGCCGTCCGCGGCTCAAACTGATTTCTGTCTGGTTGGGTTTCGTTTTTCCTGCCGTCAAAACTGGGGTGGGTCTGTCGGCACCAGGGTTTCTTCGATAATTCTAAATACGTATCCACCCTTCTTATTTCTGGTTAGGGATTTTTCATTTTTTTCCATTTTCGGTAACTCACTTCACTCCCCTCCTTACTGTGCCTCTGGGGCGTATGCCTGCTTCCCCGCTTCTTCGTATCGGCTTCTCACACTTACACTTCTGACAGGGCGTCGACCGATTCTCCTCGTGCGTCACGTGACCGCTCTCGGCCAATGAGGTCCTGGTCGGGTATCTTTCCTCCTCCTTCGTGTGTCATGTGATCTTATTTAGCCAATGACGTCTTTAGTCGGGCGTGGACAATCCGTGGCTTTGTTTTGGGAAAGAAACACCTTGCTTAAAAAAAAAAAAATATTAATTTAAATCGCCCTTATCATGAGCGACTGCGATGACACCTTCGGCTTTTAACACGTGGTATTTGTCAAGCAGTTTATCGCTAATTGGATATGATCTAAGAAAGGGATTTCTCAGACCTGTTGGCGTTTTTTTGAACGAAATAAAAATATTTCATTTTCCTCCGCCCGAAGGTCCGATAACAAAAAATCTTTATTATCAAAAAAAAAAATTTTCAGCGACATCATCTTGTGTGGCTTTTTTTCCAATTCTGAGACTGTCTGGGTTTTCGTATTAATGGTTTGCCTTCATATCCTTAGATACACTTCCCCACCCACTTAGACCTTTACTATCATTCCAATGACACACTTTCCACTTGTTACTTATCAATATTTTCATTGTCCCTAAACTTCGTTTCTTCTTTTCTCTTGGTGACAAACCAATTGATAACAACTTCCATTTTTCGTGGATTCCGTGAAAATCGGTCAGATGCTTGACCCGGATATTTTTCGACACCTGTTATCTGTCAGCCGTTCGTGTGTGTGATCGCCTATGACCTGTTTTCGTATTATTTTTTCTTTCTTTCTTCGTTTTCTCTTTCCTTCTTCCAGATCGCTTGAATGTAAAGAAAGAATTATTCTTAAAACCCAAAATATTTTTCGGCCCTAAATAATTATTAAATGGTTGATAAACCGTAAAAAACAAATCATATATCTATGAATATTTCTTTTCAGCTCGTCAGGTATGCATGGTGCCACCTGTGTGTGTGTACAAGTATACATAAAAAATAATATATATATGGGTGTGTGTGTGTATATGCGTACACTGGGCGGTCCGAAAGTAACGCCTTCTTTTATATTGCTAAAACAGATATGAGGAGCATCATTGCACCGTCAGATAGAGCAAGTTTTCAGCTACAATAATATTTTCAGATGATCACCATCATTAACTTTTGAACGTTTCTCGGTTGACAGCTTTGCAGGACCGCGCAGAATATAGCTTGACCCCGACATCGCTATGATCACAGCTGAAATGTTATTACTGAAGCGTTGATAAATGCCAATGGATACAATTATTTTCCGTATGGAAACCGTTTTTTAATAAAACATAATAAAATGTTTCATTTCTTTGGAGCGCTCCATATGCCTATTAGTTTAAGTAGTTACCAAATAATACTAAAAAGATAAGTACTTGGAGAAATCAGTTCGGAAATATTATTACGACTTAAGAATTTGGCATAATAAAGACTTGGCAAGCGTCGACCTATAACAACATCATCCAACATTATTCATCATGACCATCCAACATTTACAAGTTATTCTCAAAGATGAACAAATTCCCGAGTTGAAATACCAACCACAAGATTAGGCAAGATGTAGAAGCGGCTAATAAACAAGAGACTCAAGAAAATATCAACTAATTAAAAACAACAACAAAGTATAAAAACATTTAATTTATCTTTGGTTGATGGTGAAAAGGCATTTGACTCAGCAGAACACACGGCAGTCTTGAAAGCATAGTGGAAGCAGAGTATTAACGAAAATTATCTAAAAGTTATTGAAAATGTATACGGCAAGAGAAACTCAATAATTCGACTACACAAAAGCAAATATAAAATACAGACTGGATAAGGAATAAGGCGAGAGGGAAGCATTTCATCTAAACTATGTAAAACAGTTTTTGAAAGTATATTCCGACAAATGAACTGGTAATTGATTTGAGTGGGCATATAAAGAGAATATTTTAATCTTCTACGACTTGCTAATGGCATATTGCTAAGATGAAAATCATTAGAATAAAATCATAAATGACATCGTCACAGATGATAAATATTTTCACTTGTAATTTGAATCACATCAAACAGCCTCAAAAAATGTAGTTGCTTATTTGGAATATGTTTAGTACTCCGTAATTGTGCATTCTATGTCTCCAAAATGTTTGACTTATAGGCCACAAAAATGCGACTTATAAGCTTTCAAAAACATGCCATCTATTTTATCATGGTATATAAGACCTATTTTGTATGCCATCACAACAGTGCGCCTTCTGTATCATAAAAATAGAGCGTTTTATATGAAATCAAAAAATATGTCTTATAAAAACCGTCCTGTTAAGATGATAAACTACATCCGCGTCCTGGGTAAGACGATAAACTACATCCGCGTCCTGGGCAAGACGATAAACTACATCCGCGTCCTGGGCAAGACGATAAACTACATCCGCGTCCTGGGTAAGACGATAAACTACATCAAACAGCAAGGCCTCTGATGAGGAGGTTTTTGAGGAGCGTGGAACCACCTCTTAATTACTGGTGTTCCTACAACCAGCTTGATCCGGGTTGGTAGCACCTGTTAGGATCACAGCTATGAGTAAATAGTTAACTCCCAAACGAGGGTGAAAACGCAATGAAAGTATAAAAATAGGTTTTAATACCAGCAATACTTTTTTTTTTTTTTTTTTTTTTTTTTTTTTTTTGTAAAAATTATTACCAGCAATGATTTTTTGACAACAGAATATTAACAGTAATATATTTTTGAAAAAAAATACTACCAGTAATAAAAATTTTGTCGACATTAAATAACCAATTCAGATAACTTCTGTTGAAATGATTAATAAATGTAGTTTTGCCTAACAGAGTGTCATCCAGTGATATTCGAACCCACTTCCAAAGTTTTAGGACAGAAGCTCTTTATAGACGCCGACTAAATTTAACTTTGTCATACACAACTAGTAGGGCACCCGGTAGGAGTCATATTCAGTGCGTCTTCTGTATTATAAAAATAGAGCGTCTTGTATGAAATCAAAAAATATGTCTTATAAACAATTAAAAACATATATCGACATATGCCATTGAAAGAGTGCGTTTTATAAGCAATTGAAATCTGCGTCTATATGCCATAAAAAAGGTGCATCTTGTATGTTACTAAACAGTTTGTAATTAAGGAGATTTTTTTGTGGCGGGGTAAGGTATGTTTTCTGTTAATTCTTTGCTAGTGCCAATTTAAAAATGATCTTATTCTAAAATGAATGAAAACTACAGAAAATATGTTTGGTCTTTTAGAGAGAACCATAGATTCAAGGAATGTTTGCGATCCAACGAAATTAAATGAGACAAAAAAAAAATAAAACGACCTTGGATTAATACATAAATACAGAAATAGCAATGAAGTCCAAAGCCGCTATCCTTTGTTCAATTATATTGACATTTTGAAAAACATTGATACAAAAAAATGACATCATCCTGTCTATGGTTAAATATTTTCTTTTAACGTAGAATTATGAATAGACCCTTGGATAGTAAGATAAGTTGTAGGTATTTTTTAAAGATAAAGGTATGTATAATATAGTGAAAACTGTCGATAAGTATACAACAACTGTACGGAAAATATTTAATATTATCGAAAAAATTCACCTACCTAGGGAAATTATGTATTCGTCCCTTTGAAATATTCTACTCAGAATCTCACCTTCTCACCTCAGAGTCCCTTCCATCTTTTTAAACAGTCTACAATCTTCATTTGAGATCGAACAGTTGCTTCATCGCTTTTTGCTTAATCTCGTCTTTCTGTTTAATCCAGAATTTTCCAAGGGATCGGAACAAAAAAAAACTGTGCACAAAATATGAATAATCTACTCGCTCGGTCAGCGTGAAAACGTCAATAACACAGTAGACATAGGTCATACCGAATGAGTAACCCTAGGAGAGAGCGTCTGTCTACGCATGCGTATTAATATACCCATCCGCCTAGTAACTTCAACATTATGCTACCAGTTCTCAGGATGACGTTATAAGCATGTGATTTATTTAAAGATCTTTTTTATTATTATTTTTTGTTTAACAATGTATATATTTCAGAATATATGAATCATTAATGGATCTGAGGTGGTTATTTCCGCATCTGCCGTCTCGGATATCGTAGATACATAAGCACAAACAAGTGAAAATAATAAGTCAGCGAGTTCGTACATATAAGTGTACATGTGCTAATAATCATTTACAGACTTGTATAGATTTGTGTATGCAACCCACTGCATGTGTGTTCGCGTGTACGTACGTGCAGTTTTGCACTCCTAAAGGCGACACAGTCGAGCAGGAACGGTGTGCGAAGTTTGCCAAGGTCGACCTTACGTAACAGCAAGTACATAGCAGCATGCAAAACCCCACTAATTTGTGCTTCACTGCCCTTGGGCAAAAGAGTGCGCTTCATTAGTTCGTATACGAAAGCACGCCGTCGTCATCTCCCCCCACCACCGCAGCCGCAAATGCCCGATTCTCTTCGACTCCACCTTCTTCGTGTTGCCTCGTTTTCAACTCTACGACTTCGATCCCATCCCTGCAATAACGATGAACGACAAACCTTGAGAGATAACTTTAGCACGTTGATTGGTCAAGAAACAGATCACGTGGTTGGCGAACGAAAGAGTAATGAACCAATCGGTGGGCTGCCTCGTTTGATTCGTCTCCGCAAACAAAATATACGCCGTTTGCTCGTGACGCAAATAAAATGATTAGAAGTTGCGCGATTTGCTTCCGCTTGTATTTAAACCAATTATGGCGTTTATCTCTTCCGCGTTTTTTTTTCTCTCAGCAAAAAGTCGACAGAAATAATACTTGCAGAAAAGCAAAAGCTTACTGCATGTTTAGATTTTTTTATTGGCTCTTCCGTTTCTTGTTTATTTTGGCGGCATACGAGATTTTAAAGAAAAAAACTCACCCATGTTTAGTAACAGACACATTGGGGACAGTACTTTTAGCGATTATATACACATGCATACATACATGATAGCTACGATTTGATTCTGACTAATACCGTCACTTGATCTATCCTCACGTATAGACAACGAGTGTGTAGCGTTTTAGTCCTGCTAGGGTCATGCATTCTTTGGTACAAATGTGGCAATGTTGGGTATCTTTTGTGCTAGTTGTAACATTAATATATTGGTGAACATTTGTATGAATTTTAGTCCAACAGAGAAACATTCTTTTCTACACTCTCTTCAAGTACAAATGCCGCATAACTTATAAGGACTTATCTCCGTGTGTGGCCTATTTGATGATTTTTTAGGATTCTTCTACTTAGACACAACTACATTCATTACACGTTAGATCAAATCCTATGCCAACATTCTCTGAAACATGAACATCAGGACTCTTAGGAACATCTCTCTTAGGTTTATTCATGCTCAATATCATTCAGTTCAAAGTTTGTATGACCTCTGTGCACTGCCCCCACCCCAGATGAACAATCTAAAGCGAGCTTTTCCACGTTATATTGTATGATGTGTAGTGAATTCAGTCTTTATCTTTAAATTTCGGCTTGTGCTTTGATCTTTTACTTTGGGCCAACTCAGCATACAGAAACTGATTAGTGATCTTATCGTCCTTCACAGAAACACACACACACACGCACGCACACACACACACACACACACACACACACACACACACACACACACATATATATATATATATATATAAGTTCTAATTAAAAATATTTGGAAATCAATTTGCACTATTACTTTGGCGTCTTGGGTTTATTTTCAGTATTAAAAACGCTGGCCTCTATAGGGACGTCAGGTTTATATTTCTACGCAAAATCAAGCGCACAAAAACTGACCGTCAAAGAAATAACGTAATCAAGTTCTTCAAAGACCACCACTACCAATGCTAAAATAATCAATTTCCTGAATGTAACATTTGACCTATCTAATGGGCTTCACAAACCATATACTAAGGATTTATACAACCATAGATATATCAGCAAACAATCCAACCACCATCCTAGAATGTTAACTAATTTACATAAGTCGGTCCAATTTAGAGCGCCCACCAACTCTAGCAATATAGACATTTTTGACAAACATAAAGGGAAATATATAGAAGCACTAGAACATATTAACCATCTTCAGCAAAAACGTCAAAACTAATATCGGAAAATTTTTAAAGAATTTAATCTATAAACACTTCAGTCATTCCCCTACGATAAATAAGATCTTCAACAAAAACAATATCAAAGTTAGCTACAGTTGTGCTAAAAACATCAACCAGTATATAACACACCACAACTGTTCCATTCTAAACAGACACTTCAACAACCTGCAAAGCAACAACATCTCCGCAACTAATAATTGCAACTGTAGAAAAAAAAACCTGCCCATTAAATGGCAAATATATGTTTAAATGGTTAGTTTATAAAGCTGAAATCAGATATGATGATGAGGTCAAATTTTATGTGGGCTCTACGAAAATAATTGGAAATCGGCTTCTAACACTACCAAATGACATTAGGCAATATCAAATATAATAACAGCACTGTCCTCTCTAAATTTGATTGGAAATTGAATATCAAGAATAAAAATCCCGTTATTACCTGGGAATCTGTAAAGAAATCTAAATCCTTCAACGGGAAAAGCAACAGATGTAACCTGTGTTTCTGAGAAATTAATAATCCTGAAAAATATAAACAATCCTAATCTCTTAAACAACAGAAGTGACTTAATGAGCTCCTGCCTACATAGATCCAAATTTCTACACATTGACCCGGATCAGTATAGTCTAGCCGGACCCGGGAACCACATAAACTAGTATTGATATTATTTATTTTTTATTAATATTTTTACTTTTTTCTACCTTTACTATACAAATATTTTTAATATTAGACTATAAATCATTTAAATCTTTTGCTAATCTATTATTATCATTTTTATCTATAACCATTATCATTGTTTTGTCTTTTTGTCGTATGCTTTAGTTTTACTATTAGTAACGTGTTTATTTATTTACTTATATATATTTTTGTTTGTATTTAATATTTTTATTTATTTATTTATTTTCTCTATTTATTTACATATTTATATGTTCCTATTTATATGACTTATTTTGACTTATCTTATTTTATATTATATTTTATTTTCATTGATATGCATTGTTTTTATTTTTATTAGTACTTTAGATTTATTTTATCATGACATACTTTATTATTATTGATATCATTATTTTTATTTAGTTTATTAATACTAATACTAATATTAATTACTTTACTGATTTTCAAGGAAAAATAGAGTTGTCTCCCTTGATTTCCAACATTTTTTTTTCTTAATCGGTCCTTTTGATAACAGCGTCTCTTCAAATTAGAATTTATAATTCTTATTTCTAACCTTACTTTTAATCTTAAATGTTAATCTAGGTCTAAATTCAAATCGAAAATTAAACTACAATCCATTTAAATATTTTAACAACAATAATAACTCACCCCAAGAATAAAATATTTCGCGGTAATATCAAAAAAATGATGTTTACCCAAAAAATTACAACTGACAAATGCAGAATGTATGAAACCCCAAAGTTGTTTAATCAATATAAGGTATTATGTATATTTCTTAATATATTAAATTGCTCTGCTTACATGATTTACATTATTCGGACTGTTATCCTTAGCTTATTCACAACGTTTCGGCCGTTGTACGCTCCGGCCTTCGTCAGGTGATTGCAATTTCGAACCGCACCCTTTCTTTTGTCCACTGGAGTAGATTGTTCTAGTTTCACGTGACATGCCTCTTCCGGATGTCTCAGTTATTTCCAATCACCTGGAGAAGGCTGGAGCTTACAACGACCAAGATATTGTGAATATAGCAATGAAAATGAGGATAACAGTTTGAAATAATGTAAGCAGAGATATCGATAGATAAATAGCACTTTTATTTAACACTGAGCACGGTTTTTTACACTATATATATATATATATATATATATATATATATATATATATATATATATATATATTAGGATTTTACACGAAAAACATATCAAAATCGCTACAAAATTGCAGTCGTGTTTCGATGCGTATTAATACAACTCATGATTCGATTGTTTTGTTTTGAGCCATCTTTTAAATTAAATATTACGTCTAATACTCAACCTCCGGCGTCTTACTCTTGAGGTGTCTACTCGGTCCTAATCGAACTTAAGGGAGTGGCCGTAGGTCCCCTGAGCATCCGTAGATTATTCGACCGTTCTGCTGGTTTAATCCTGCTTCCTGCTCACGTTGTGATTTGTTTGATCCAGAAAGCAGAAGTGATATCCGTCCATTCACGATCCACTGAAGATGTAGACACGGCTGGGGAGTCTGCGCTAAGAAATTTAGAATGCAAAAAAAAAAAAAAAATAATAATAATATCTGCAGAAAGCCGGACAAACATCGATTCAATGGTTAAATGTCTTTTATATAGCAGAAAAGAATAGTAGAGAAGAGAAACGGATTACAGAAAGGAAAAGTAAAAAAAAACAACTTATACACTGGATTCTAGACAGAGAGAGAGTGTATGTGATTATCTTGTTGTTAAATCGTCTCAGAATGATATATGACTCTTGCGATGGAGGGAGAAAGATTTCTGTGCGGGGCTTAAAGTTATAGTGGCGTTCCTCCTCCCAACGCTCGCCCGGGCCAATTCTCTCTTCTCTCTTCAAGAATTTCCCCCCGTCTGTCTTTTTCAGCATAACTACGCGTTTATATAGATAAACCCAGCTAATTATAACGGGCCCACGGCCTTACTACTTCGCACGCGATTATCACGGGGTTCTGGCTGCTTCAACCAAAATCATGTGAATTCCAAAGTTCCTTCTAGCTTACTCAGCTCTATTTTAAATTTTAATCGATAAAAATTATTTCGACCATTTCCATTGTCTACTGATGACGCAGATTCAATGAGTACAACTTCTTCCCTAGATCTGATTTCCCTATCAGTAAACAAAATGCTCTGATTTAATTTTGCTATTCAAATCTACTCCAGTTACACTAAAAAAAAATATACGTGTATGTGTGTGTGCGTGTGTGTGTTTTCAAAACTCTCTCTCTATCTCTCTCTCTCTCTCTCTCTCTCTCTCTCTCTCTGTGTAACATACGAACGTTGGAATTGTGCTCTATTCGTTCTCATCTTACCTATATATATATATATATATATATATATATAGATAGATAGATAGATAGATAGATAGATAGATATAACTTCAGCCCATATATATATATATATATATATATATATATATATATGAAAACACCAGAAATGCTTCTTTTCAGAATTTTTTGCTCTTTCCTGATGTTTCAAGATTATGAATATATTTTCCGATGTGACATAATAGTAAGAATATAATAACATAGCGGTAAAACTGTCAAAATAAGACAGTGGGGAAAAGACCCCCGCACCACCACCACCACCACTAACACAAGCACCACTACCACCTCCCGATTGAAAGAATGCCTAATCCTTCAATGTTGCTAAGATGACTGAAAGTAATTGGCGATATAATCTCGAGAAATCCATCGTTAATCTTGATCCGTCAGTAAAACCACTTTTGAAAGACAACGTGAAAGATTAAATAAAACAAAACCAAAATTTGTCAAAAAATATTTCCGTGATTTTCAATCACCTATGCAAAAAAGAGAATTCTCTACCCAAACACCTTATGCACCTTTAAAATGCACATAGGGTGCATCAGGTATTTGAGGATATACGATTAAACGCCAACAGTTACGTGATTGTTCATGTGCCTTTATCTTTTCAGAGGGTCGATGGCGAATTATTAGCTCACACATGAGATGTAATTGTTGGGATACAGGAGTAAATAGTTTTGACTGTCTTTCCGTTCACCCCCCCCCCACATACACACACAGAGTCCCTGGTCATTTGAACAGGATTAGATTTTTATTCCTTGTTTCCTGTTTAGGATTAGGTTTCCAGATCCTTCTAAAGTCTACTTCAACTCTATACGTTTAATGTCTCCGCCTGAACTCTGAAATTTTACTTATTTATTTTACCTCAATAGGAGCAGCTAGTTTATCCTATCGTCTGGTTCACTCCAATCTCCGGTCTTTTGAACAGGAGTAGAGGGTTTTTTTCCCATGTTTCCTGTTTAGGATTCCGGTTCTTCAATTAAAGTCCTTTCCCTTCTCTTTCACTTCCAGTAGCCCCTTGCATCTTAGTGGCATTATCGACTTGCTTGGAAGGTATTGATTAAAAACAAAGATATACGTAAAGTACAGCGATGTTGAGATGCTTTTGCACGTCTTTTTGGGAGTTGCAAAGTTTGTGCACAAAGTGTAGCGAAGTACAAATAGCAATCTCAGCGACGGGTTAGCATCAGAAGACCACAGTCCGTACAGCGGGTGCTGAACACTATCGATACGAATCCCAGAATATTCATGCCATACGTGATGTGGAAAGAACAATTCATGTTGGTGCACACACAAATTGCTATAAAGCAAAACATTTACTGAACAAGTTGAAACATCCAGAACTTGAGATGATATGTTTTTTTTTTTTTTTTTTTTGTTTTTTTAGACCAACAAAAATTCGACCAGGATTAAAAATTGAACCGGGGACATGAAATTGAACCCGGGGACATGAAATTGAACCCGGGGACATGAAATTGAACCCGGGGACATGAAATTGAACCCGCGGGGGGGACTATGTGGATCATTCTCATGCCTTCATGCCCACCAAGTTCCAAGCTTTTGCGATGCTTTAAGAGGTGATGAATTCGTTAAGGACGCATCATGCCAGCTCACATCTTTCAACAGGTTTTTCACTTGACTATTGCTAATTGCAATGAGGTGCTGGAAACAGTTGTGATGTCCTGGACATACCTTACATGTGATGGAAACCCACATGTGTTTCAACCGGACTCTTCACCTTCTCAGTTTTGGGTGATCCAAGAGTTGATGGCGACCATTCTGCACGGTCACACCACACTAAAAATGCGGCCAGACCTAAATCCCTTTCACAAGCGTGGACGCAGAAATACCCCCATCTACCAATATAATATCTAGCAAGACTTTTCGTCCAACATTTGTAACAACGTGTGTAGCCAATAGACTCTCCTGACACCATTAAACTAAACATCCAGATAATCAGATTGCTGTCAGAAAACACGCTTTACTCAATTTAAAATGGCTTGCAAGTCACTAGAGGTTTATATGAGCCATTTAAGACGTTGTCAACGATTTGGAAATCATCATGAAATGTTCCTTTGGGAGTTATAGGTCTTAGAGATTGTTTTACTTGGTCATGAGTCTTCTTCTGGAGGGCAGGTTTCCTCAGTCACAAAACTGAAAACGGGCCCTCCACCGACATCTAATAATATAATACTTACACTTGGAGATCATCCCTGAAATCGTTGGAGTGGTCTTACCCAATCAAATGCCGATTTCCAGCATACATCCATGTATGTATATACCTATATATGTATATTCATGTGCGTATATTCACCCTATAAGCATGCTTTCGAGTGAAAAAAAATCTCATGCCGAACAAGAAAGGATTCAAAAAATAAACAGACAAATAAATAAATACCGTTTTTTCATTTGGTCAGATTTTACGAACTGAAAACTTTTCAGCGCCCTCTCATTCAATGTCTACGGTCGCCATGTTTCGGTGTAAAACATTGCAAGCTTACCTCGCAAATTGTGAGATGTGCGTCCAATCCTCTCATGGAAATAAATAAAATTTTGAATGTCGAAATTGCGTTGGGGTATTAAGAAGAGGACAGAGAAAATCCTGTAATGAGTTCCGGATTTATACAAATGTTCATCGGCATTTTGGGCTGATTTTTCACTGTCTCTTAGCATCCATAGATCTATGTCTTTTTCATTACAACCTTTTTTTCCCGCCATTCATTTATGTCGCTTTCTAATCTCTCATTCAACGTTCTTCTCTAATTTTCTCTCTTCTCTCTCGTTCTTAGTCTTTCTGTCTCCTGTTTTCGCTCTTTATAATTTCTTTCTCTCTCTGCACCCCGCTTCTCTCTTATGCATTTTTTTCTCAACATCACTCTCTTTCCCTTTCTGTCTTATTTTCTATTAATCTCTCCATCCTTCCATTCCCTTTTCTCTCTCTCTCTCTATTTCTACTTCTGCATTTACTTTCTCTATCTCCCCGTACTTTTTTATTTCTTTCTACTTTATCTTCACCTATTTTGCACTTACCCTCTCTCTATCTCCTTCCCCCCCTCTCTCTCTCCCACAGACACGCACACACTATTTCATTCCGTCTTCATTTTCTCCCTACACATATTTTCTCTCCATCTATATTCCCTCCATCTCTCTCTCTCTCTCTCTCTGTCTGTCTCCATTATATTTTTTCTACTCTTTTACTCTCCATCTTTTGTATTTTTCTCCTTTTCCTTTTCTATGTTCTCTGTTTTCCTCGTCTACCTAGCCCCCCTTGTCTCTCCTCTCTCTTTCTCTCCTCCTTTTCTTCCTTCTTTCTCATTTCTCTCTTTCTCTTCATGTTCTTTACTCTCCACCTCTATCTTTTCTAGTTCCTTTTCTCTTTCCGTCTCTCCTTCTCTTTCGCTTTTCTTCATGTATTCCTTCTTTCTTACTTTATCCTTATACCTAATTTTTCTTTCTTTTTCTTCGTCTTCTTTTTTCTCTCTCCTTTATCTTCACACCGTCTTTTTTCTCTTTCATTCTCTCTTTTTTTCTTACTCACTTTTAAACGAGACTTGGCAAATATTGCTGGATGATGTATTTAATGATTTAATTTTATTGATACACGTGGGTAATGGAGTTCAGTACACGGAAACTGGTCACTTGGTTTAAGTATATTTATACTTAATAGTTAATTGCCTTGTGTTCAAGCAAATGGATCCTCTGGGTCTTAAAGAAGACGTTCCTTTATCTGATCTTATAGACTGTCGCTACATATTCACAAAAAATAGTACAAAATAACAAAACAAAAACATATTACTTGAAGACTTCCAACAAAAAAATTTATAGTACATATAAATAGAAAGAAAAATATTCATATAATTAAGATGTTTATTTTCCACAATGCCTTAAACAAAAAGTTCGGAAGGAAATTCCCATAAATATTGGAAAAAGCCCTAACAGTGGTCTTGTGAAGCCTATTTTTCTGAAAAACGTATTTTAAAAGAAAACTTTTTTTTATAAATATCAACCGACAATAACGCTAAATGTTTTGTCAGTGAGGGCCGAGTGTTTCCTATTTAGAAATACTTTGTATTAAATATATTTAAAATGGCCATCAGACAATGAATTAGCATAATTTTCGGTCAAGTTTATCCCCCTTGACCTTCTGCGGTTGTAAGGGTCAAATGATTTGAAATTAGGAAACTTTATTCTTTATTCAATTTATCTTTCTTTGCCGTGTCCATCTGATATCCGAATAAATAAAGGGATCCACAAAAGTATATTGCACTATTTTACCTTAGGTTTACGGCCATATCGCGTTGACACACCGGCTCCCGTACGATCACTGAAGTTAAGCAACGTCGAACCTGGTCAGTACCTAGTAAAGTTGAATATGTGTGTGGTGTAAATGGTAACGGCTGCCAATTAGAAATCGGAGAGCCTAGTTGCAGTTGACTTTCGGGTTCGTTATATTCACAAATAGGCGCAAATACCCTCGGATATAAATAAGGTTTAAATCCATCTCTGCCCCACTATCTATGGGTTAATTAATAGGATTGTGACAGTAAATAATTACTCCCTCAAAAACATTCTTAGAATTTAAAAATATTTTCTGGTCTTAAAATACCTGCAAAATGTTGATAAGCCGTAAAAAATCAATCTATTTTCCTTCGATCTTTTATTTTTTTCTCTTTAATCTCTCTCTGTCTCTCTCTCTCTCTTACTGTCTCTGTCTCTCTCCTGTCTCTCTGTCTGTCTCTGTCTCTGTCTGTCTGTCTCTCTCCCCCTCTCTGTCTCACTTTCTATATATATCTATCTGTCTCTCTCTGTCAGAAAGACAGACAGTTTTTAGTTTTTCTCTTCTTTAATCTCTCTGTCTCTGTCTCCCTGTCTGTCTGTCTCTCTCTCTCTCTGTCTGTCTCTCTCTCTCTCTCTATATATATATATATATATATATATCTGTCTCTCTCTGTCAGAAACACAGACAGTTTTTAGTTTTTCTCTTCTTTAATCTCTCATTCTCTCTCTGTCTCTGTCTCTCTCTCCCTGTTTCTCTCTCTGCCTCTATCTCTCTCCCTCCCTGTCTTTCTCTCTCCGCCTCTGACCCTCGCTCTGTCCCTCTCTCTCTCTCTCTCTCTCTCTGTCCTCTCTCTCACACACACACACACACACACACAGATACACACATACACAAGTGCGCGTTTTCATTCTTCTCATTTTTCTTTATCTCTTTATTTTTTTCGGATATTTTCTAAGCCGTGTTTCGCCTTGGAACTTCTTATTCAAAACATAATTTTACTTTTTTTTTATGTATAACAACTGCAGTATGTTACTACTATATCCCAGGAACTCACTTGGAAAGGCATTCATTTGTACTAGTGCCCATGGATTATGAAACAGACTGAAAAACATTGAATCATAGAGATTTACTTAGGTTTATATTCAAAACGTTTTTTGTTCTTTATTATTATTATTATTTTAAAAATAGTATTTCTGGCTATCGTAAGTAATAGATGACGTTTCCTCGACAAATGTAAATTTTGCGCCTCTTCACATCTGCGACGAGGGTGACTGCTTGCTTTCCCCCTAGCATTCAACCCACCCTGGGCGTCTGTGTTTAACTCGATGACTTTATAGCTTTTCTCATGAACATTTAAATTATTTCAGACTTACACGCGAGACGCAAATTGCTTGCCACAAATTTTGTCTACTTCTGGATTCTTGACACCATATTAACCTGCCGGTTGAGATAAACTTATTTCGGATGTGTCCACAAAAATTAAACTAACTTACCTGAAAAATCATCCACTCACACGGTGTGTATTTATGAGTTCAGGTCATATGACACCTACGTAGAGCAGAAGACAACATTTCAATCGATAATTTTCTACATCTGACCTCTGAAACTTCTTCTGCTGTATTAAAAAAAACTGTCTCGTATTGGTTTCATGAAATTTTCGTTTGTAAAAGCAAACCATTTCTATAAAAATTAACAGCGCTTAAATTTGAAAATTAACCGCTTGATCCCTGACAACCGCTTTACCGGCGGTAGAGAAAAATGACGTAATGCCCAACCACCGGTTGAATGGTGGTAGAGAAAAATGATATAATGCCCAGTCACTGGTTGAACGGTGGTATATGAATATGACGTAATGCCCAGTCACCGGCTAAACGGTGGTGGAGAAAAATGACGTACTGCCCAGCAACCGGTTGAACGGTGGGTAAATACTTGTAACTATTTTTATATCTACATTGAAACATTACATACCAAATATTTGCGTATTTTGACTAAGAAACTCAGGCAGATGGGTTAAAATTGTTCAGCAACGTAGAGATCAAAGGATTAAAGAATGTACAGGCAGTTGAAAACTAGTTTTCTCCTCGAAACTTTTGTATACACTTAATCCATTCATTAACTGAATTTTGACCAGATCTATGGTTATCTATTTGCCTAAATTAAACCAAAGGATCTGCCCCTATTTTGGACGGATTGGGCAAATTGCCTAGTGGTTAGAACATTCGCGTTCCGACCATGAAATACAGGTTCGAATCTCGCCAGGATCGCTTTACAAGAAAGGTGGAATTTTGATATTGGTCTGGGAAGGTGATCTTTGTTGGGGTTTGTTTTTTTTGTTGTTGTGTTGTTTGTTTGTTTTTGTTTTTTTTGTTTTGTTTTTTTCTCACCGTCTCTCTTTCATTTCTCTCTCTTGTTGTCTTATTTTCTCCCCCTACGTTATCTTTTCTAACCCTTCCTTCCCTCTTTTCCTTTCTATATATTCTTTATTTTTCCGTCTCCCCTTTTCTCTCTTTCACTCTATCTCTACTTTTCCTTTTGCTTTCTCTTTCTGCCCGTGTTCTTTCCTCCCTACTTCACTTATTTTGCACTCACCCTCTCTCAATCTCCTTTTCTCTCTCTTTCTCTCTCTCTCTCTCTCTCTCTCTATCTTTCTCACACTTTCATTCCGTTTACATTTTCTCCCTACACAAAGACTTTCTCTCCGTTTTGCTCAATCTTTCTCAACCCCGCCCTTTCACACTTTATTCCTTGTCTCTATCATATTGCCTTTTCTCCTTCACGTTTACTATCTCTCTATCTTTGTATTTTTCTTTCCCTTTTCCTTTTCTCTATTCTCTGTCTATTTTTCTCCGTCTTCCGGAAACCCTTCTCTCTCTTTTTCTTTGTCAGAAAAATATTGTCTCATACAGTTTTACTGAGGTTTACATTTAAAACGTTTTTTATTATTTTAAAAATGGTATTTATTTTGCTAATAGTCTGGGGAGGTGACCCCAGTGTGCGGCAATTTTAGAAAGTACATGAAAACCATATCACGGGTTGATCCAAAACTTGTGAATGAAATTGGCTTGACGGGGCTATTCAAAGGCCTTCTATTGTTATGGTAGCACGAAATTACAAGTCATTCTGACCGAGAATTTCATTGTACAGGTTTGATTAAAACTGATAATCATGAAAGATTATGCGTATGCTCAAAGAAACTGTTACTAAGGTCAGCTCAGTCAGCTCAGCATAGTTGCAGAATAAACTGCAGGTGGGCTCTGTGGGTGTTGAACAAATATAAATGTGTCTGGACAGGCGTCTGCAACAGGGATTGGCTAACCACTTTCATGTGCTTGGAACACAGGAGTAATTATTATAATGGGAAAGGTATGAATCCATAGCTATCGGCTAAGAGAAGAAGAAATCTGAATTCCAAACTTGAGGCAGATCATTTGGAGACTTTGTTCCACACTATTTGCACGAATTCTCTGTATTCTGTTATTCTGAAAAATGTGGCTGGTTCTGCACAAGCCTTCACTAGTATAAATGCTGGTCGTCTGGCTGTTCGGATCTAAGAACAGATGGACGCTCATACGTTGAAGACAGGATAGTCCATCATTTTTTTTACTCATGTTCACCCAATACAAGGCTCAATAGCCACTCAAGGTAGAGCATTACTATGTGGTGGTGTTGTACTAGCATAAGAAATGAGTAGAAGTGAATTTCTTGGGTGCTACACAAAAAAAGATAACTGCTAACTCTAAACTTGAAGAGGTCAAGATTTACTTAATGAATTTACATTTCAGAGTTCGCGCGCAGATCTTAGTAGACTTTAGAAGTAACCGGAAACCCAACCCTAAACAGAAAATAAGGCACAAACCATTACTCTTGCTCAAAAGACCGAGGAGGAGTTTGAACCGGACGATAGGCGAACCTATCTGCTCCTATTAAATCATGGATGTCGTTCGTTCTGTACAAGCCTTCACCACTATAATCAAATGATAGGTGCAGATAGTCTGACTTCTGCTTCTAAAAACTGCGCTGCTTGACCCTCTATATGTCGAATGACGCGAGAGTTCTGTATGGGAGGGAAGATAAACAGACAAAGAAGTGTAGACAGAGCGAGAGAGAGAGACGGTAACAGACTATAACCGAGAGAGAGGAGCAGTCAAAGATAGAAAGATAGATAATATATACACGTACATATGTGTGAAGGCAAAGCATGCTTGTTTACATGTGTATCAGTGAGCGTGTGAGCTTGTGTTTTGTTGGCAAACACATTTAAGCAAAAGAAAACGTCCGCTTTGAAATCACAGATTTGGCTGTGGACAAAAGTTGAAACTCGCAATACTTGCAGCAGGTTTTCACTGCGCATGCGCCATGCGTTCGTTCATTTTAATACATTTATCTTTCCTTTCGTTATTTGTTGGTTTCTATTCGTCTTTTCTATCGATCAAGTGACGAAAGATTGGGGACTTTTTATTTACTTTTTTATTTTTTTTTACTTTCTTATTTATTTTAAAACACGCGTTTTCTTCTTGTTTTTTTTTTTATTGATCTTTTCTCTGTCTTTTGATTTCTTTTTTATTTTATTTTATTTATTTATTTATTTTTTTCACTGATGTCTGCGTTCCTCGTCTGGTTTCCTCGTAATTTTTCCATCTTTTTTTCTCGTTTAATTTTCTTTATCAGATTTTTTTAATGTGTGCGTGTGTGTGTGTCGACGTGTTTATTAAAGACAGATTGAGAGAAATTATGTGTCTGTAGTGTATGTGTGTGTGTGTGTGTGTGTGTGTGTTTGTGTGTGTGTGTGTGTGTGTGTTTGTGTGTGTGTGTGTGTGAAAGAGAGCGAGAGACTGGGTACGTCTGTGTATATATGTGTCAGTGAATGTGTGTGTGTATAGAATGGGAGTCTGTGCAGATTAGTTTCAGTGCAAGAAAGGAGTATATCTGACGGAGATTGTGTATCAGTGTTTGTGTGTATCTGTGTACGTGATGTAAGTATACGCATGAAAGAGTGTATGTTTATCTGAGGAAGAAAAAGACAGAGGCAGACAAAGTATGAAGTGAGTGAGTGAGTGTTTGAGTGTGTGTGTAATTTTGAGGCCATTCAGTGTTCACAGACAAAAAAAAATGTAAGTAATAAAAAAAACTTGAAAACCAAATAATATGCAACAAAATACAAAAAAAAATAAAAACAAAATATTGGTAAACTTAAAATATATATAACTAAATAAAACGTCTGTAAAAATAAAAAAAAAAATGCATTTTTGAAAACATCGGAAGTTCGAAGACATTGTTTCTGATATAACATCTGAGACAAGAGTCGTCTTTCTGGCTTAACCTAAATCTACTGTCTGCACGCAACCCCCAAATCTGCACGCATCCCAGATTCCGACCGTCAGTTCTATTCATATAACCCTTCAATCTCTCTCTCTCTCTCTCTCTCTCTCTCTCTCTCTCTCTGTTTTCCCAATCAAATTCCCACTCTTTCACTCAAACCAACACCTGTTGCATCTTCCTGTTTCAAAATATTCACTTATCTGTACACCCCTGACAGAGGGAACAAAGATAGGCCCTTAATTTGCTTACAATTGTGACTACATCTTAATTTCACGCAACCTTTCTGTCTCCTTGAATCTTGTTTTTTTTACTGTCCTTTCCCCTCGGTAATGTTTTCGCAGTTTCATTCACACTATTTTCTTTCATCCTCAGTAACACGTTACGTCTTAGTGGCTTTATCGCCTTGCTGGAATGATATGATAAAAAATAAGAGAAATGAAAGAAAATATTCCTTATTTTGATTTGACGCTAAGAGTTCACAAATTATCAATCACTAAATGCAGCTAAACTGAGTTTGCTAAAGTTCAGTAACAAAAAAATTAATTTTAAAGCCAATTCTGAAATATAATTTAGCGGTAAAAAGTTTCTCATCGATACTCAAGTATAAAAATTGTTTTATTTGTAACATCATCGTTGTAATGTATGAGACCAAATTTTTCATACGCAAAACTTATTGTTTATACACTTCACGGTTTTGTTAATTAATGTCGGCGTGAGCTTGTGGTTTTGGAGACTCTCTTTGAACGTTGATCATCATCTCGTGAAGATGTGAGACAGACTGACTCTCGGCTGAGGCGCTTCTATAACTTGCAACCATCCGGTTGTTCCACGTGTTCATATACTTAGCTCAGCTGGGTCGACTTCCTGTTTACATATCGATCTAGCTACTTGTCATCCTGTGAAGCCCGATTCTTCACTGGGTGTTTATGAGGTCAATTGCCAAGCCAATTTTCTGATGCATCTAGTTCTTTTTATTCCTTGGTGTGACACCAACTGTCTTAGGTATAAAATGGAGTTGACCAAAGATCACCTCTTCTTAGAACAAAGCTTCCTTATTGACATTAAATTCGATTCAGTCCTGGTTTGGTTTGGTTTGGTTTGGTTTATTTTATTTTACGGCATATCAACCTCAATGAGTTATTTAATGCCGACCAAAATTGTTATTGTTGGTAATATTTTGTTTTTTATAAAAATCTGTTTCTGGTATCATTTTTCCTTCAAAATTGTATTGCTGGTAATCATTTAAAAAAATAAAAATTTTAAAAAATTGGCTAACCGCTTTCATGTGCTCGGAAAACGAGAGTAATTATTATAATGGGAAAGGTATGAATCTATAGCTATCGGCTAAGAGAAGAAGAAACCTGAATTCCAAACTTGAGGCAGATCATTTGGAGACTTTGTTCCACACTATTTGCACTAATTCTCTGTATTCTGTTATTCTGTTATTCTGTTATTCTGAAAAATGTGGCTGGTTCTGCACAAGCCTTCACTAGTATAAATGCTGGTCGTCTGGCTGTTCGGCTCATTTAAAAAAAAATTGTATCGCTGGTAATAGTTAACTATTTGCCCATACCTGGAACCCTAACAGGTGGTACCACCCCGGGTCAGGGTTGACCTGGGAACACCAGCAATCAAGAGGTGGTTCCACGCTCCTCAAAACCTCCTGAACAGAGGCCTTGCAGCTGGACTTAGTTTATCGTCTTACCCAGGACGCGGATGTAGTTTAACGTCTTACCCAGCACGCGATTCATTTAGTCAGTGAAACTTGTCTTAATTCCTGTCCCTTGATAATCCTTTTTCTTCTGACATTCGATTTATTTTATAGAATTACTAATTACTATGCACTTTGATAGTCATTCAGAGCAATGCATTGATATTGTAAAAAGAAATAGCCCTATAAAAGAAATAGCCCTATAAAAGAAATAGCCCTATAAATAGGTCATCATATGCACTGATTATTCAGACGCTTAACTATCAAATGTTCTTTGTTATTTTCACTTCATTCCACAGGGGCTGACGACTACCCTTTTCCGTCTATACATGATCAGACATGCCCAATTTCATTGTCTCGCCTCCAGCCTTACTTTCACCTTTATATTCAGAAGTGGCTCCACACTACAAGGGAAGACTCTCTGTCGATTAAAAACCTAACACGCGGGCGGGGCGGGAAGAACATGACCAAGAACTGTATGTATTCCAAAAATACAAGCCGCCTTCTTTTTTTTTATTTACTACGTTAGCGCTCTCGAGTGTTTAAAAGTCAAAGAATCCTTTTCGCTAACTTACTGTTTTTTTTTTTTTTGTTGTTTTTTTTTTTTGTCTTTTCACCACAAGCAAAGCGATAATACCACTAAGACGCAAGGGGCTACCGGAAGTGAAAGTGAATTAAAAGACTTTAGAATTCTAAACAAGAAAGAAGGGATAAACCTCTACTTCTGTTCAGAAAACGAGGAGGAGTGTGAACCGGACGATGGGCGAACCTATTTGTTGCTATTGGTGAAAAAAAATAAATGAGTAGTGAATAAAATTTCAGAGTTCATACGGAGACGTTAGAAGTATAGAGTTGAAGTAGATTTTAGAAGGAACCGGAAATAAACACAGTTCTAAACATGAAACAAGGGATAAAGCTCTACTCCTGTTCAAAAGACCGGGGAAGAGTGTGAACAAGCACCAATAATTTCGAAAGATTTTTTTCAAATTGTGAGCATTTGTCAGAGGTTTTTGTTTATTTTTTTAATGTCACACGACTGTTTGTGTTATGCTAGAGACGACATGCTGCAATTTTTAAATTTTGACATTATCTAAAATTTTTATATTTCGTTATTCTCATAGGTTCAATGATTCAGAGGGCGATGCTGTTGGCAGTTCTAAACTTCTGGTAGTGCCACCCAGATTAAAAGCGATCAACCCCAAAGACCCCAACGGTGGAACAACCGGACGACAAGTAAAAGAGATCTCAACGGTTGAACCAGCGGATGAAGAGGGCTACGCTTGACGGATATGCTACAGAAGGCGCCGTTCGAAATTATAACAGAGTCAGTGGCAGTTCGTTGCAGTTTCATAAATAGGTTCTGCATGTCTCATTCCATATATGCTGCAGAGAGAGAGAGAGAGAGAGAGGTCTGGGTCACTTCCTGGAAAGTTGAAAACCACCTTAAACAAATTCACGCCACTGACATTTTCTTCTACTCTGGTTTTCTTTCACCCCCAACTAACTCCTGCAAAGCAAAATGGCGATAGGGAATGGATGACTGGAGCAGGTTTTAGTGAAACTGGAATCTTCTAGTCGTAAAACTGCACGTTGGTGGCGAATTTAGTCATCATCATAAAAGAAGCGATCAGCAAAGTAGAAATTAAATTCTTGAAAACGAGATAAAGCTGATGACGATTGTTTTTACCGTGCTTGTTATCAAAAGATCAATGAACACGCAACAATAAACAGATGCTGAAACCTTCTGGCATTGAATATATTGGTTAAGTCAATTTTAACCAGCAAAGGACACAACACAATATTACGCTTTCCATAAAAATTACAATCATTTCTGGATTGCATCTGTCTATATTTCTGAGATGAGGTATTATGTACACTATTTACATTATTCGGACTATTGTCCTCATCTTTGTCGCCATATTTATTACAACGTTTCGGCCCTTCAATATCTGTCTATATTTCTGAGATGAGGTATTATGTACACTATTTACATTATTCGGACTATTGTCCTCATCTTTGTCGCCATATTTATTACAACGTTACGGCCCTTCAATATCTGTCTATATTTCTGAGATGAGGTATTATGTACACTATTTACATTATTCGGACTATTGTCCTCATCTTTGTCGCCATATTTATTACAACGTTTCGGCCCTTCAATATCTGTCTATATTTCTGAGATGAGGTATTATGTACACTATTTACATTATTCGGACTATTGTCCTCATCTTTGTCGCCATATTTATTACAACGTTTCGGCCCTTCAATATCTGTTTATATTTCTGAGATGAGGTATTATGTACACTATTTACATTATTCGGACTATTGTCCTCATCTTTGTCGCCATATTTATTACAACGTTTCGGCCCTTCAATATCTGTCTATATTTCTGAGATGAGGTATTATGTACACTATTTACATTATTCGGACTATTGTCCTCATCTTTGTCGCCATATTTATTTCGGCCGTTGTACGCTCCGGCCTTCTTCAGGTGGTTGGAATGTCGCAATATGAACACTGGTAAAAAAAAATGGTTGCAATAAACATTAGGTTTATAATACCCAGAAATTCATACACAGATGTCCTCAAGACGTTGGTTAGATCCAGTGACAGGACCCAAAGAGTGTGAGTTAAATATCCGGTTAAGGCAGTGGAGAACTTGGAGAGGAGAATTAACAGGAGATTGATAACTGACATCCATTAAATATGGCACGTGGAACTAGAACAGTCTTACTCCAGTGAAGGAAAATAAATGGTCCAGTTCGACATTCCGACCACCTGAAGAAGGCCGGAGCGTACAACGACCGAAACGTTGTAATAAATATGGCGACAAAGATGTGGACATTAGTCTGAATAATGTAAATAGTGTAAATAGCTGACTGGATATAAAAAGCACTGGTAATGGTAAAAGGATGAATGAGGCGTGTGATATGAATGAAAGAAGGTTGTATGAAGTGAAGATGATGAGGACAAAGAGATAGATAACGATTGACCCTTAATATATATATATATATATATATATATATATATATATATATATATATATATATATTGTGTCTTGAGACTTGTTAAGGCAGTGGAGAACTTTCAGAGGGGAATTAGCAGGAGATAACTGATAACTGACATCCATTAAACATGGCACGTGGAACTAGAACAGTCTACTTTGATATTCCAACCACCTGAAGAAGGCCGGAGCGTATAACGGCCGAAACGTTGTAATAAATATGGCGACAAAGATGAGGACAGTAGTCCGAATAATGTAAATAGTGTCATTTCTGGATTGTATTCAAAGGATAACACAACATTTGCAGAAAAGAGAAAGAGAGAGTGAATTAAGAGAAAATGAAAGAGTGAAAGATTGTTCCATATATAACAAAAAGATATCTTAGTTTTATTAAAATAAAATATACATTGTATATATATATGGAGGTTTTCTGTTAAAAGACGATTATAACACGATTTTTCCTCTTCATCGTGTTATATAGGGGTCAGTTTGTTCTCATCGGAAATTGCAGGAAAGCTATGACATCTCTATCATGACAAGTA